AGGAAACTGGGGAACATAAAGACTAAATTTAGCAGAAACAACAAGTTGCCTTAAAAAGAAAACTTTGCCTCTCTGTGCTCTATTTTCACAAAAATGTGTCACACATTTTATCTTTGCAAGAGTTTGACGAGTTTTGCAAGTTAAATTCTATTTCCTGTGCACTTGCTAATAGTCATGAGAATCTGTAGTTTGCACCTTCCCATTAAAAATGTATTGTATTTTTTGAAATTATTCACCCCGCCTTTTATCCAGATCATGTCTTTGAAAGAAGGAAGTAGATAATAAATGGAATAATTCATGATTGCCCATTAAATATGAAACTTTCTTTTGCAGAGTTTAGAAAATGAAGTTCTACATAATGTACAAAAGTTGATTAGAACTTTCTCCACCTTTTCCTTTCACATTAAACAACTATATGAGGAGATTTCTTTGGGAAAAGGAAACCAACCAACTCCTCACACCTTATAGCTTTGTGCTACATATTCTAATGTTACTTTCCCCAAATACTTACTCCTTTACAATACTTAAAAAGTATTAGGATAGCACATGCTATTAAAAAATAGCATCAGGCTGTAAGAATGAAAAGAAATTAAGGGAATGGTAACATGTTTAAAATACAAAAGGAAAAAAAATCACATAAACTAAAAATGAAAACAAAATACTATTCATGGTCTTTTAGCAGTGTAATGAAAGATAACACAGAAGTAAAGAGGAAAACCTGTATTTAGATTTCTTGCATTCTGGCATTTCTTCTAGAAAGATTCTGCTACCTTGTCATACGAAAAAAAGGGTATTTGCTCATAGCACTTCTCTTTTCACAAACTACCCATTAGCACTCCATTGCTGTGCTCTCTTGCTCTCTCTTTCATTGATAAAGTAAAACACAACAATAACTCAAATCATTTTTAGGGTCACTTCAGCTCTATCATTCTATATTTTTTGGGTGAAAAATCTGTAGAAATTTAACTAAAGAAAAATGCCAAGTTCTGAGTATTGAGGGGCAGCAGTTAGCCTCATTTCTTTAGATTTTTAAGTGCCTATCCTGGAAGTTTATCTTTTCACTAAATTCATTTTACTTATTTTTCTATATGGAAAAATATTTTTTTTCTTGAGTGAAACCTGAATGTGTGAAAGGTAAATGCCAAACCATAAGCCATATGAATAAACCTTTCATGCTATATACTCTTTGATTGCTATTACAAAAAAGTGTATACTAACCCGAGCAGACAGCAAAGCCAGACTTTCTCACAGACTATATGTGCACAAGGATCAAGCTTCCAGAACATAATGAAAACTATATTATTAACAATAGAAAGTGAACGGATCATTCTATACAATTTACCAGGTATCTGTGTACAAGTAACTTGTTCTTCTGAATGTTATATTAATTTTACTGTGGCTATCTTAAATTTTAAGAAAAGTGTTAATTAACACTAAGATCATTTAAAACTGAAGAAATGCACCAGAAAAAATATGGTTTAAAAAAAAGAAGTATTCTGAGAAGACCACAAACTCTGCATTCAAACTTCAAAGTATAGATAAAATAGACACAGAATAGGCAATGTCATTTCTTTTGTATTCCCATATAATAGTAACAATAGTAACAAAGCATTTATGATTACATTCTTATTAAACAAAACAGAAGTAAGACAGAGCACAATTAAACAAACATAAGACTATCAAGGATTCATAAATGGATTAATTAACTGAAAAATACATCGAGTGGGAAATAATGCACCTAATGATACAGCTTCAAAATATGCAAAATTAACTGAATAAGGAGAGATTAATTTAAATGAACTTTTTAAAAAGAAACTTATAGATAAGGTGGAGCAAAAGAAGTCTGAATAGCATTGTCCAAGTTAATGGAAATAACAGACTTGAACTGATCATTGAATTCTGGTAGCTATTTCTATCTATTTCTATCTAACTTTCCAGAAAACAGAGTATATATTTATTTTTCTGAGCACAGAATATTTATAAAAATTAGAACCTTTCAAAACAATGATATCATGCACAGCATATTTGCTAATAACAATTGTGCATTCCCTACTGACAAAAACACCAAAAAGTATTTGCATGAAAAATTAAAATACATTACTTTTTTATTTCCTAAAGATGAAACCATTATGGAAATTTTACTATAATTAGGATTTTAAAAACACATAAACATCAAAATCTGAAGGAAGAAGTAATCACAATAGGCCAAAGGAAGTTTGTATGACAGAATTTGTTAAAAATTAGGAATAGGTAAATGCTGGTGGCTCATGCCTGTAATCCTGGCTAACCGGGAGTCTGAAATCTGAGGATCCCAGTTCAAAGCCAGCCCAGGAAGGAAACTCCATGAGGCTTTTATCTTCAATTAACCACCACAAAGCCAGAAGTGGAACAGTGGCTCAAGTGGTTGAGCACTATCTTTGAGCAAAAAGTTCAAGAACAGTGCCCAGCCTTGGGTTCAAGCCCTAGGACCAGCACACATGGACACATGAGCACGCGCGTGCACACACACACACACACACACACACACACACATACATACACACACACATACACACACACACACAGAATAAATATACAGGTGAAGAAAATCTAGCTTCAGCTCAGAATGCAAAAAATTTAAAAATATCTTTAAAAATAAACAGAGAAATAAACCCAAAACCAAGAAAGAAAATATGTAGATAAAATAAAACATTAATAAAATAGAGAACAAAAAAGTTGACCCATAAAACAAAACGACTAGCTATGTAAAAAGACAAAACAATTTTGCAAGCATAATCAAGAGAAACTAAAAAACTGAAGTACCAGAAATAAAAAGATAATGTAACTAGCTTTTATTTTATGTTTAATGATGTCCCAGGTGCTGTTCTCAATACATCATTCTTAAACCTTGAAACATTTTTTAAAATCAGATGCGCAAACTGTTATTATTCTCTCTGTTTTACAGAGGCGGCAACTGGTACAAAAAGGTTCAGAGTGAGGGAAGGGCACATATCCTCTGAGTGAAGGAGCCAGGCTGTTAATCAGAGCAGTCTCATTCTAGAACCCTCATGGTAAGTCATTAGTATTTCAATCTCTGAGATATACAGACTATTTCAATTGATATGGCAAACATTTAAACACTATCACAAAATACCATCATTAACTGTCACAATAAATTTAATTTTGTGTATCAGTAGACACTTTGTTAAAAATGACTGACACGGGGTAGAAAAGACTTAAAAGACCAATTAGAAGACCTAATCCCTTTTCTTACCAAAGGAAGCAAAACTATTTGGTTTTACAAGGGAGTTCCATTAAAAATAAGAAATTCCTCTTTCATCTGAGATGAAATTCCTCTTTCATCTGATTTTTTCCATCTGATTTTTTCATCAAGAGATGAAAAAATCTGTAGTTTATCTGACATGATCCCTAGTTTTAGCTGAAGAAAAGAAAAGAAAAATTACAAATAAAGATCATTATGACTTAGATGCAAAGTTCACACACACACACACACACACACACACACACACACACACACAGATAAACCCATATTTATTAAGCAGGGTATATTCCAAATTTGTAAGAATAGCTAAAAATTACAAAGCCTAGTAAACCTATCATCTTAGTAGCTGCTAGAAAATGATTTAATAACATCAAAAATTCATTTGTGATTAAGCAGAAACTAAAATGATTCTTTATATTGGCAATGTATATTTACTAAGAAGCTTTGTGTGTATGAGAGAGAGAAAGACACACACACACACACACACAGAGAAGCTTTGTGCTTTGTAGCATTTTAGATTCCTTTTCACTGAACACAGGAGTGTGAGGGTATACTCCTCAGAATATTGAAAATGTGGTTTTGTTAGTTGGTGCTCGACATTGTAACGATCTCACTTCTCTCAAAGTAACACATAAATTTGGTACAATCCCCACAAAACCTCAGTGATATTTTCCAATGATTTATTGCATATTACTAACTAAGTACTAGTGCTAAGTATTCTTAGAACTATACATAGCAGTCCTAAATACTATACAGGGCTGTGTATAGAGCTCTGCACATATGACAATAGTTATTGAACATGTTGTCACCTTACAGAAGAGCTATTCACACAATGGACAACTTTGTTTTCCCATATTTGTATACAAATTGACAAAGATAATTTCAAATGAAATAGAAAAAAACCCCAAGAGATTTAGAATTTTAGAATGAGCAAAACCTATGCTAAGATATCATTAGAAAATTTCAACAGTAGAATCTCATAATTTTAGGTAATATAATAATGAATAGTGTTTCAGAATATTTTGTTGCATAAAATAAATAATTGAAAATGTAAACAAATTCCACATGATGCACATAGATGCATAAGATTTTCAATTTTCAATACTTACATCCAAAGAATGGACTACACATAAAGGTGAGCAGCATTAAGTGCTCAGCTCGTATTTGAGGTTGCAACTCCTTCCTCTCTGAGCAGCATGGATTTCTAGACTGCTTTCATTTATCTTACACACTATATTCTAACTGGAGATAGCTAAGTTTACATTGTACATTTTGAACATAAACCCAGATGATTTCAAATTATCTTCCAATTGATTCTTTTTGTAGGTTCTTGGAGGAAGGATAAAAACACATAATTGAGAGTTATTTTTGCTTTTTTGTTTAACCACTAACAAAAAAAGACATACAAGTCTTCTTGTTTAAAGCAAATTTCTCCCCAGTACAGGCAATATGCCTTAAAATGGAGGTTGAGAAGCAATTAATGACTGGACTTAATTAAATAGTACAAATATGAGAGAATACTATCTTGGTAAATATAAGAATTTGAGAGTGGTAAAAATTAAACACTTCGATATGTATAGGAGCAATAGACATGACATCACTATTTAATATGAGTTTAAATTTTTAAATGCCGTGTTCCAATGAAAAAGTATGCTATGCAGGATCATTGAAATTTCAATAAAGAATCAAGACAAAAGAAACAAACTTGATATTAGAGCCTTTAAGAGGCTATACTTACGCCGCAACCTCCTCTTTTGATAAGCCTTTGAAATTCTTCTCCAGATAATGATCTATGTCATCTTTCTCTTTGATCAATTGAGACCTAAATGAAATAGGAAGAAGTAAGAAAGCAGTACCGCCTAGTTTGGCATGACCAAACACATAACATGCCACCAGGAGAAGAGAATGGGTATGTCAGCTATCATAGCATTGATAATAAATACTTTGAATAGCTATAGAGTTGTTACTGATAGATCATTTCAAAAGTTCCATGTTCCTAAATGGAAAAAAATAGGGAAGAAAATTAAATCAAGTTGAAGGACAAAATACCAACATCCTTAAATGGAGATTTCTCTCAGAGTTCATCAAGCCTCTGTGTAGCTAATAGTGTTTCACACCTTAGGCGTCTAACTCGGGAAATCTTGTTTTTATGTGGCACAGAATCTTGAATCAAGTACACTTATTTGATACAAATGTATAAACTGTATTTGTTCCGAGTATTTTTTAAGTTTACCCTGTAAATGCTACTTGGGTAGTTCTTTCAAATCACACATGAAAACTCAAATTATTGATAGGATTTCAAGATGTAAATGATTTTTTTTTGTCGGTAATGGGGCTTGAACTCTGGCTTGGGCACTGTCCCTTAACTCTTCAGCTCAAGACTAGCGCTCTATCAATTGAGCCACTGCACCACATCTAGTTTTCTGGTGGTTTATTGGAGATGAGTCTCACGGACTTTCCTGCCGAGGCTGGCTTTGAACTGTGATCCTCAGATCTCAGCCTCCTGAGTAGCTAGGGTGACAGGTGTGAGCCACCAGAGCCCAGCTGCAAATGATTTTTTCAAGGAGACTTTCTTGAGAAATTTACTGTACTTATAGCAAGGTCATTCCTCATGTCTCCTTGCACCTTTGAAAACAGTCAGCCTTGTTCAAAAAGAAATGTACTCTCTAGCTGGCTTATGTAACTGTAACCCCCTCTGTATATCACCTTTATAATAACAATAAAATGCATTAAAAAAGAAAACTAGAAAAAGAAAGAAAATAGTCAACCTAAACCAGGGTAATATAAAACTAAAATTGTTAAATATCTGTGTTTTATTTGGAATAGTTATTAAAGTATGTTTATATAAATTCTGTCTAAAATGGTGATTAAATATTTTCTTTAATAAGTTTTCTTTAAATTTCATCTGATTTTCAGGATGTTAAATTGAACTGTTTCACCTTGGAGAAAAAAAAATGTAATCTCAATCACTGAAAAGACAGAAAGTGCCAGGCACTGGTGGCTCACACCTGTATTCTTAAACAGATTCAGTCAGATTCAGATGACTCATCCCCAATTAATCACTAATAGTTTGAGGTGCTAGCCTTGAGCACAAAAGCTCAGGGACAGCAGCTAGGCCTTGAGTTCAAGCTCCAGGGCCAGTGCCAAACAAACAAAAGCCAAATAAGCCTTTACAGACTATGTAAATATTTCATAGTACTCAAAAGTGAAACCCTGGAACATGTATATATAGGCATATATGTATACTCACAGGAAGTTTGCATCTACTGAAAAATTTGTCAACAGGAAAAGGAAGTTCTTGATTTACCAGCTTAAAAGAATCTTTATGTTCATTTAACCACGTCTTTATTTTAATTCAGGGCTTTTGCTTTTTCCCAGAAATAATAAAACTAAGGTATGAGAACAAAGAAGCCATGTAATACTTTGATCACTATGTCTCAAAGGAACTGAGAAATATGCAAAGAAAACTTACATATGCAAATTATTTATATTGATAAGTAACAGGCATGATACTAAAAGCCAATAAAATGAAATGGTAACAAAGCAGTGTAATCTCAGTCAGTATTCCTGAATATGACTGAATGCATCAAGTTCTCTGCTCGGCATTTTCTCAGCAGAACTACAGTACAGTAGCTCAGAACCATTTTCCTGGCAGCAGTGGTTTGACAGCACATTTTCCTCCTTAGTGTCGTTTCAAGAGCTAAATCACATCGGCTGGTCCATCCTAGGGAGGATGGCTTTGCCCTCATGTTTCCAAATCAGCAGTCAGAATTCAAGGGGCATGTCGATGAAAAGCTATATACTTTCGATTCTGAAAGCTTCTGCTTTCCTCTCTCTCTGCACACATTTACAAAAGAAACATTTTCCCATACTATAGGCCCCAATAACACAATTGCAGTATGAAAGAAACTGATTAAATGTACACCACATTAGCAAATAAATACATCTTTGGTACTTGAGTGGGATTCATTGATCCTTTTGCACAAGCAAACTTGAATATCTGAATGCCATCATGTATTTGTCTACTTTCCTAAAACAATGTGTGTGTGTGTGTGTGTGCCTTTCCTGAGTCTTGACCTCAGATCTCAGCCTCCTGAGTAGTTAGGATTACAGATGTGAGCCACTGATGTTCAGCTCCTTAAACAAATTTTATTTTCTGAGCTATGTTACCTATCTCTCTTATTGCAGGAATTTTATTCCAGAGGAAAAAAGATGAGAAGCAGGGCGAATACCTTGGAATTGTTCCTTTGGAGCAGGACAGCTTCTGTCTAGCTAAGATGGTAAGTCTTGTCCGCGCCATGGGCAGTGGAGGAAAGGTGGTCATTTTGGACTGTAAAAATGAGGCAGAAACAGTATTTTAAGGAACACATCTTCAAATGATCCTTTACAGCATGATTAATGATGCACAGTCTGTCACACAGGTAGGCATTCCTGTCTAGGTAGAGTGATGGTTGGGTTACTTGAAAGCAATGCACCATGAGTGGATTCTATGGGTTGCTCCTCTCATTTTTTTCCCACAGTCTGCTTTTTGACCAATTTATGGCTTGTCTGCATCTTCACTACAGGCGGCTAAGGAGATAAATCTGATAACTGTATTGAAGATTCAGCTAATCAGCAGCTTGAGTAAAAGTTTTGTTAAAGGATCATGAGTGTAAGGAGAGTAGGATAAATGTGCATTTCGGGTGTTTCATGGTGTTTTGTTTTGCTTTTTGCTTCTGTTATCAGCAAGAACTGAAAAGATCTCATACTTGTATGTTTTCTAAGAACATTGTCACAAACGAAGAATTCCCTTGGAAGTTATAGATGCTAGGGAAGCTTTCCACAAGGGGGCATTTGCCCCAAGAGGCACACTGCTCACCTACGTAGTGTAATAAAACACTTCAAGACGTGGTGGTTTGAAAGCCAGTTTCAAACACCTTTATCTCTCATACTTATCTCATACTTTATCTCTCCTATGTCTCAGTAATTTAGGCAGAGCACAATAGAGATGACTGTTCTGCTCCATAACGGCAAAGTGTGCACTGCAGACTGAGAGCTGGAGAAACCCCTGGTGTCTGCAGGAGTCTAACGGGGCCTTACCTGAGGCTGTCAGCTATAACCCATTCATGAGGTCTGCTCACATGAATCAGACTTCCTCACAGTTCTCAAGGGACAGCATCGGGATCCAAAGACAACTATCCCAAGGAGGTGCACCCCCTCTGAGGGTGTGGCCTTGGATATGACTTCCATGATGATAAAAGGCCTGCCCAGATTCAAGGCAAATGAACACAGACACACTTGCTGATGAGAGTGTGAAACTCACGTGGTAAGGCGCGAATGTGTTTCAGGAGGTACCCTGGCACCCTCTTTGGGAAATGCAATGTGCCACAGCATGAGCCATGAGAAAAGCAGATCTACAAAATCAAGTTCCTGAAACCCTAGCAGAAAGGAAGATGTGTGAGCATGATGACAGAGGCATAGTCTGTTGTCTTCAGTCAGGAGGAGGTTTGCTGAACCCACAATAGAAAAATTATCCCATGTTGTAAAGGCTTTTGGTTGTGAAAGAACCCATGCTTCTGCTAAAAAAATAAATTATTAATAACAATAATAAAAGGAAAAATGGGGCTGGACACTGTTGGCTCACACCTGTATTCATAGCTTCTCAGGAGGCTGAGATCTGAGGGTTGGAGTTGGAAGCCAACCCAAGCAGGAAAGTCCATAAGATTCTTATCTCCAGTTAATCACCAAAGAAGCCAAAAGTGGAGCTGTGGCTCAAGTAGTAGAATACTAGCCTTGAGAGAAAAAGCTAAGGGACAGCATCTAGTCCCTGCGTTCAAACTCCAGTACTGTCACACACACACACACACACACACACACACACACACACACACACACACACACACCTACTCACACACCAATAGCTACTCAAAGCCACTTCCCATTAGCTTACTCCAGAGAAATCATGACGACTATATTCCTGTGTCCCAAAGTTACAGAGTAAATCTGAATCACTGAATCAATGCTGTTCTGAGCACTTACCTCTCTGGCCCTACTGGTTTTATCCTTGAATCAGGGCATTCCATCCTCCATGGGGGAGGAGAGTACTGAGGGTCCCATTTTGCTATCCAAGGTCTGTGCCATGAACGTCAAAGCCAGGGTCATCTCTACATGATTATGGGGGCTTTGGAAGGATTCACCCTGCAGCCCCCTCAAATACTCTTCGTGCAGACAGACATTCTGACATGGCTAACTCACTACACCAAAGTTGGCCTACCAGCATGCTGCATAAAACCAACCCCTTTTCATGATGACTAGGGATAGAAAAATTTTGCTAGGAAACACAAGTGTCTAATAAAATCAGATGCAAATGTATCTTTGTCACACAGATCAACTGTGATTTTTTTTCTCCCTCAAATTCTGAGTCAACGTTTCTTACCATTAAAGTTTCAGCTGCCAGTTCCTTCATTTTGCTCTCCTCTGATCTGAGTGCATGAGCAGCAGGAGCACCTTTACTCTTAAATTTAGTTTAATGTAAGTATTGCAAGCCCTGCTGGCAAGCCTCAAGGCACAAACTCTGAATGGGGGGTGGTCAGAGCTGAATTATAAAGTAGGAGAAAAGTTATTAACTGAATGTTGTAAAAAATTTTGCTCAGCTCAACCCATCTATGCCAGAAAGCTAAGCTCGGAGTGCAGGTGGAAATGCAGCCAGGCTGGGTCTTGGCCCCAAACCCCACATCTTACCTCACCCAGGCTTATTGGCCAAATTCTCCTAATGATTATATAGCCACAACTAAATCTACCTTCTGTAATAATAATGTGTGATCTGAATTTTTTGATGCATATAGTATTTGAAATGTATGCAATGCTTAATGGAATCCTGTAACAAATTATTTTCATTACTGCTAATGTCCTTGTGTAAGTAATTGACATCATTTTTATCTTAACATTCAATCTTATTTATTCTTGATTTCCTTAAAGTAGGAAGCAGCCATGTTCTAGCAAGTAGAAGCAGCAAAGAGGCACACAAGTAGAATGAAGTGCAGGTATGTTTAGGGAATGTTGTGTCAGGCTTTAGTTACACCTGCAGAGAGAAAAGCTTTTGGTGCTTTGTAACAGGAGAGGTGGCCAGACAGCCTTCCTCATTCCTAGGAGAGATTCCACCTAGAATCAACAATGAAGAATTCATCCCACTAGTGCTACATGGGGTCTGTGCTAGACCAGGAGCAGAACTGGAGCCCCTGGCCCTTAATCATTAGGGTCCTCCCAGCTTCTTGCCACAGAAGAAAATACATGATGAATAAGTCAGAAGGAAAGAGAATTGCTCAGGTTCCAGTGAGGAAGAGAAAATGAGAGGTACTTCTAGAAACTGTCAGGTTCCAGAGAGTGAGAAAGAGAATGAAAAGGACCTCTGGAGCTGGTATGGAAATGAGCATAGCCACAGGAACCCAGGCTGAGGAACCAGAGGCAACCCTCACCCCCTAGTGCCAGCAAGTAGGCAGTGCTACATGGCACCACAGGGCTCAGACAAGATCAAAAGGCCGCCCGGAGCCATTCCACTGTTGGTATTCAGAAGAGATTTGGTACATTCTTTGATCTGCTGGTTGGCTCTCATATTAGCAGTTACACACTCTAAGTTTGGCCCCTGCATGTAAAGACAAACGAGAATGGAGAAATGCAGGATGAAAGGTTTGCAAGTTCTGGGTCAGGTCAAATGTGTCCCATGGTGTGAGTTTAAATCATTGGCCCCCAAGTAAAATTCTTCAAAGAGTAACCCTCTTACCCACTACCCTCAGAGATGGCCTCCAAAGGAAACACAAAGGAGAGAGGGATTACCACTAGGGACACAGAGGCTACTTGGGGAGGGCCCATGTCTGAGGCTGACCAGTGTCTCTGGGGTCTGGTTACTTTGGGGATAAGAGCTTGTAAGATAGGAATAAAGCCAACCAACCACAGCAAGCAGGGTTCTTATGTATCATCAAGAGAGTCTGAAGTATGACTTCACTCCCATGACATGAAATTATTCAGTAGGCCTAAAATTTTTCATAATATCACACATTCTTTTTCCAGAAAAGAAAAACAAAACTATAGAAGAACAAGTTTAAAAAACCATTAACTATGTATCCCTTCTCTCATATTATTTTGGTCACCAGTACTCTGTGGCAGTTAGAGATAGGTTGTTAAATAAATAGAAACTGCACGTTTCCTACCAACTGATATTACATTTAAAAATAAAAATAGAGGGCTGGGAATGTGGTTTAACAGTAGAGTGTTTGCTACCATGCATGAAGCCCTGGGGTTCAATTCCTCAGTACCAAGGAAATTGAAAAAGCCAGAAGTGGCGCTGTGGCTCAAGTGGTAGAGTGCTAGCCTTGAGCAAAAGGAAGCTCAGGGATAGTGGCTAGGCCCTGAATTCAAGCCCCAGGACTGGCATAAATAAATAAATAAATAGAAAAAGTATCTGAAGAAAGGCTACAGTGTCCATGACCTACATGTGCAAATTACTGTTGAAAGTCTTTCAGATTTCAGCATGAAAATCAAGAAACAAAATACAGTAGCAAAGAAAAGAAGGAAAGAGTTTTGTTTGTTTGTTTGTTTTTTTAAGAAATCAGTAGAATAACACCTGTGCTTACCCTCAACTCCTGGAATAAAGCTCGGACCTACTAAATACCTAGCATGTATTTAAATCCAAATTAAAACTTAATTTGGATTTAAATCTAAACCCAAAGTGTATACCCCATGAAACTAGTCACAAATTCAAAGGAACGCCAAAATATCTGAAATAATTATTCATGTACTGATACAGACCAACACAAAGGTGACACAAGGGGCAACCAGTGGTGTGTCCTCGTAAGCGTGTAAGATTCGTTTATGAAAATCCAAAGTTCTCACCTAGTTCCCATCAGAACTGACAGACTTCCTTGGGACTGTCTCTTTTCCCTTCGTCCTCAGGGCAAGAGAACCTTTTCCTGCTCTGTTTGTTTCTGGAAGCTGGAGTCCCATGGAGGGCGGACTCCTGCGGTGGGCCTGCCTGCTAGCAGCCCACCTCTCCCAGCCTCGGGCCCCCCCCCACCCCGTGTCCACCTCCCTCTCCCCCCCACGCCATCACAAACCTCAGTGGTCTGGCTCTGAGGGGAGCAATCCGGTTTTCCTTTTGGCGGAGTCTGGGTGGCAGGTGCTCAGCGCCCCCTCCACCCTGCTGGTTCCGGGCCTGGCTCGGCCCTGCAGGGAGAGGGGACGCGGAGAGCGTCTCCAGGGAAACAGCGCAAGGGGGCGGGAAGGGGGCGGGGCCAGGCTGAGCCGGGGATCGAGGTTGGACGTTTTAAAGCCTCCTCGGGTGGGGGGGCGGCGCCAGAGGTGGGGCGGAGCCTGCTGATGGTGGGTGGGCGGGGCCTGAGGGAACAGCAGGCTTTTCAAGCAAGGTAACTTCACTGAACCCGAAGTTGGGCCCCTGAATCATTCCCCCCCCCCTCGTCACAGCTTGGCACCCCCGACCTCCAGGGACCTGGGCCAGACCTCACACAAATACTCTTCTCAGGCCTGTCTCCAGAAAGAGAATCTGACTTTGAGTGACAGCCAACTAAAGAGCTCAAGGTCTCTTTCCGGAATCTCTCTTCTCTTTGCATCCTTAATTACTTCGAATTTTTACTTTGGAACTCCGGGTTTTCTATTTACCCAAACTCTCCCTATCATGCGACCTAGTCTGTCCCTTGTGAGGCGAGTGGAGAGAACCTTCTGGCTCATTCTCATTCTCGTCGGGGTAACAGAGCGTGATGAATTGGGAAACGAGGCCTTGTTCCTAATTGTCACCTTCTGTAGGGGAGGGCGGCTGTGGGGCTCGCCCAAGTCATCCTGTGCACCCACCGTAAATCAATTCTACCTAGCCCCCACGCCTACAGCCAGAGCCACGCCTCCCGCCCGGCTCCCCGCGCACTGCGCTGTCACACGTGGCTGGGTTATTTCCGCACACTAAACGCACAGTGTGCCTACAGTTCATCACTGTGAATACCCGGCAGGTAAAGGCTCCACCCCGGTCCTCACACCAGGACGGCCCCCCATTCACACCCCACCCCCCCCAGTCCATTTTCCTGACTACAAGCAGTCGCGTTAACCCAACTCCCAGGGGCTGTGTGTGAATTCTGCTCCTGTCTTCGCGGCTTTTCTCAGCCTTCCTTTCTTACAGGAGGATCTCTTAGTTGGTAGTCTGGATGCTGCCTTCCTGCTTCAATGTATTCCTCTTGCTTAGCCATGCACCCCTCCCATTTAACTAGTTCTTCTCTTTCTTAGCATGGGATTCCTTAGAGGTGGGAAAAGATTTAGTGAGCTGTGTTTACAACTGACAAAAATCTCAAAGCAAAAAAAAAAAAAAAAAAAAAAAAAAAAAAAAAAAAAAAAAAAAAAAAAAAAAAAGAGAGAGAGAAACTTTCCTACAAATGAAGGATGCTAGCTTCGGCTGGCGTGTTTTTCTCTTGTTTCATAGACTCTTGAGAAAATTAATTTTAAAAATCGAGGCCAAACCATTTTGCTTATTCACTGTCTACTGGTGATGTGGTTTTGACCTGACTGAAAATGTTGTAAATTATTTTTGAGGTTCAAACATCTTAGGTATGTGTACTAAATCAGATGGAGAAGTTTAGTCAATATTTATTGATCTCACCTAAAACAGTTGTAGTACACTAGTTATTTCTAAGGTAAGACTAAAAAGGTCTTTTGCTTATTGATGCTTGCTAGTAACAATTATTTTACTAAATGTAGAGTAGAAAGACTTCTTATAATTTTTTCTCAATATGTATAATGCGCTTGTAATTGTCATAAATATTTTATAGTTAAGAAGAGCCAGAAATAGATATAGCTCAAACGGTATAGTGCTAGCCTTGAACTGAAAAAGCTCAGAGAGAGTGTCCAGGCTTAGGCTTAGGATTGGAAAAACAAAAACAAAAATCTTACAAAAACACCCTTTACAAACCAATCAAATAGAATCACGAAATAATTTCTGAACTAAGTATTCTAACTTTGTCCCCTCTGTTTGGTGGAACTTTGTAAACTGAAAGGCAACTGATAAAGGAGAAGGGGCAGGCCATGTGCTCAGGACTCAGGCATGCCAACAGCTGAACAGAGCAAAACTGGAAGCTGAAGCTCTGACCACCCTAGCAGCTCAAAAGGCATTAGGAACTTGTCATTGAAAACCTAAATGCCTTGCTTAGCATCTAATCTGTATTTCCTTCTTTTTAGCTGGAATTGTTTTAAAGTTTTAGCTCATTGAAAGTTTTAGTTTCTATCCAAACTAACCCATGCACCTTTCATATCACTAATGTGCTGCTCCAGTCTTTGCACTTGCCCATTACCAGTATCTAATGTGAGCTTCCTTCCTTCCTTTTTCTAGAAAGACCAATACGGACACAGTGGCCTGTGTCATGCTGTAACCATCACTTCCCCCTGCCTCCTAAAACCTTTGGCATGCTTTTCTCATTGCTCAGTTTGGCTCTTTGCAATTCCCACACTGTAATAATAGTATTTTGTAATTCATCTAAAAATTCCTCTTAAAGTGGGAAAGGCTCTGTTGGAAAAGGTCCCCTTCAAGGTGCAGAAGCATACCAGACTAGGCTGTTCTAGTTCAGTCAGAGGCTACCACAAGCAACAAAGGCATAAATTACACACAACATTTTTCACAATATTCAAAGAAAGAATATGTATTTTTGTATAAGTAGAACATGGTGATGATCAAGTCAGTTGATAATTACTATTCGTTTTCAAGTATGAAAAAATAAGACTAACTTGAGTTTCAAAAATTCCCCAAATCTCATGTCCTTTTGAAGACACTGAGGCTATGAGCTGAGAAGGAGACAGCAAGGTAGAAAAATGAAATAAATCACCATTGTAAGGGTTCTCAGTAGACATAATTCACGGTGCAAATCATTAAGCATCAAGATCTCAGAAAAGCATGTTTGTGTCAGGGTTCACTACTCCAACAACACACTGAAAGGAGACAAATAGTTTCAAGGAGCTTGACATTCAATGTGTTTATTTCAGTCCTCTTCATCACTTTCTACTGCAGAGTATGGGGGAAAAACTGAACACTGTGAAAGAAAAACCACAGATGCTTTCCAACAGCATATTCTTCTAAATATTGATGACATTTATAATGAAAATATTTTTCATTTTTTTCCCTATTAGTGCCATCACAGCAAGTAGAGCAAATGATTATTTAATAAAGTAAAAAGGCAGTTCATGGAAGCTCCTGGAGCCAATGAATAACAATATATCAACAGGGAGAGGAAGAGGTTTTTAAATAAAATTGAGAGCTGTAAAAATAAAAATATTTTAAAAATGTTTTAAAATAAAGGTTATTGTAATAGACATGAGCATTCAGCCATTATAAGCAATAATCATCATCTGCAAATATAGCTCACTTTTTTTGTCTCTTAGGACTTGTGTCACAAAGATTTCACTGTAGTTTTGGGAACATAAGCCTGTAGTTAATATCAGTAACAAGTATGAGTTGCCTAGAAGAGGCCATGCCATGACTGCTACAAAGAGTTCCAGGTAACGAATGAACACGACTCTGTCACGTGTCCTTCAAGCACCACGTAGACCGCGAGGGATGGCACCCTATGACAGGGTATCTAGGCATGTATGTCCCTAGAGAAATACAATGCCACAGAAGGCCAAAGCTCCGATCTGTTAAGGACATCTAGCTCTTTTAATTCTGTGCATGCCAGCAGAATTTTTGGTCAATGGTTTGCTTTCTTCATTGAAAAGGGGGAAGTTAGACATTGTGTAAAGCTTGGTGGTCTTCTAAACCAAAGACACTTGCTGATGTGGTACAAGGCGCATTAAATGATGTACTTCTCTAGGTTAGAGATTTGATGATTGAAGAAGGCTGATGGCATCTCTACCATTAAAGTTAACAAAGTACATGCTTCACTTTGACTAATGGATGACATTTTCTTTTTTTTTGTTGTTTGTTTTAAATTTTATTGTAAAGGTGATGTTCGGAGGGGTGATAGTTATACAAGTAATGAGTACATTTCTTGTTGGATATTGTTACTCCCTCCCTCATTTTCTCCTATTTCCCCCCATCCCGACTCTCCTCACCCCTAAGTTGTCAAATTCACTTTCAATATAGTGTCTTGTGAGTATCGTTGTTGCATTGGTTCACCCTTTGTCCTGTGTCTCACCATTTTGTGATTCCCCTTCCCATCCCCAAATCAAATAAACATATATACAGGTCACAGGGTTCTGAAATCAAAAACAGTGACCTCAGGGCACTTTCAAAGCAATCGCTACTGATGCTGATCAGCTTCATACAATTCACACCTCTTTGCTGTATCTGAAAATTCTAGAATGTATTGATTTTTTATGTATTAATGACTGGAAAAAGTGAGAGGGATATTTCATAAATTTTTACTTGGAAGAGTTAGTGGACTTTTTTTTTGTCATGGGGCCTGAACTCTGGACCTGGGTGCTGTCCCTCAGCTCTTCAGCTCAAGGCAAGTGCTCTACCACTTGAGACACAGCACCACTTCTGGTTTTCTGGTGGTTTATTGGAGATAAGAATCTCATGGACAGGGTGGCTTTGAACCATGACCCTCAGGTCTCAGCCTCCTGAGTAGTTAGAATTACAGGTGTGAGCCACCTGTACTCGGCAGTTTGGTAGATCTTATGGAAGAAAATGGGTTTCAACTGAAACCTTCAATTATGATGACAGATTTGGAATTAGGTGTCATTCAGACTTCTAAAAGTGAAGTTCAGCTTACCAATTAAGTTTGTGTCTGTTTGATTTTGGTTCCCATTTAGTTCAGTGCATTTGACAGAAAATTTAAATAAGTGTATTCCTATGTGGTATGGCAAAGTAAAAAGTTCAGTCTAAAACCACAGCACGTATCTGCATTGGCATTCCTTGCAACTGATATAATTCTAAGAGATTCTACTGAATTAAAAAGTGTATTTGCCTCAGAAGCCATTGAAGTTTATGATTGGCTTAAAAGTAATTGTTCACATAGTAGAATAAGCCATTTGACTATGAGCATTGGCTCTGCCAAATCCGAGGTTGTGTCTAGGTGTATATAAGGGATTTCTGTGTACCAAAGCAGCATAAAACTTATCAAGGAACATTCAATTTTAAAAAAAAGACAGCAAGGGATTTTTAGATTTTTTCCCCCAGAATTTTAATTGTGGGATTTTGATCTTTCAGGATTTTAGTC